GATTCTCAAAATTTCAAAAAAATAAAAATAAAAATAATTTTTTTTTTTTTTGGTGTTTTGAGGTGGTGTTGGGGTGATTCTCAAAATTTTAAAAAAAAAATTATTTTTTTTTGTTTTGAAAAACTAACAAAAAGAACGTATTTTCAACAATTTCAAAACAAAAACTCAAAATACAAAACTCAAAATGAATTCAAAACTCAAAACACAAAACTGAAACACAAAGAGAACACCCCCTAAGATTTGAAATTGTACCACTACTACTTGAAAGAAAGCTAATGAAAGAACAATCCTGCTACTCAGCTAGGCATAAAACCAGGGTTGGGAACATGTATTTTAATATTGCTGTGGTGGCCCACAAGGCACAATAAAAAATAAAATAAAAAAAGAGTAAAAAGATTTTATGAAACAAAACAAAACGTAAGAAACCGTGACTGATTTTCTCTTTGTTCCCAAACCCTTCGTTCTGCCGCCGACCGGAGCACCTATAGTCGCCGATCAAGAAGAGGGGGAAAATGGGAAAAAAAAAGTAACTCATTTATCTCCAACATTTGAAAGCCGAAAGTTGACCACAAATAATCCTCTTAACCAATTCAAATTCCTTCAATATTTTTTTCCAATCTAAAGGAGCAATTAAAATCCAAAGTCAGTTGGTCCACTTTAATATTAGTAATCATGCTTTGTCCTGTAAAAGAAGAAGGGATGAAAAGCAGTCTTTTATCACAGAAGGAAATTTGGAAAGCATCTTTCTTAATTTTAGTAACAGTATATCACAAGGGTTGATGAAATCCACCTATTTTTACTTCAATAATTAAATTCACTGATTTTGATGAAAGTTCTTTAATGTGAAATGGACAAACAACGATTCCTCACCAAGTTGTAAAGTTCAAAGAGCAGGGATGATTCGTCAGCGATGGGTGCTCCGTCGGCAGCGGGATGTTTGCCGGTTTTGCTTTCCCACTTCTGTGGTTAATCCCTTTTGTCTAGTTTCAGCCAAGCTTTCTTTTTTTACGTGTTTTAAGCCTTATTATTATTATTTTTAGCTGTGCAATTTTGCCACCTTAGCAAATTTCAAATCCCTGTTTTTATCTGTTTTTATACCTGGCTGAGAAGCATTATTCATGAAAGAATTTCATTTATTTAGAAAAATAAAGTCATGAAGTGAGAAAAAAAAAAAAAAAAAGTTCAAAAACTTACTTTGACGATCAATCAGATGTTGGTTGGGAATGGTATTTGGTCTTCCAACTTCAATTTCAATCTGGTTATCCATGTTTGCAACTGCCTGAGAACTGAAAGCTTTCGAGTTAGAATGTAAAAAAGTAACATTGGTACATAAGAGGATGGTCGATAATATAAAGAATAAATATGATAACATTTCAAGACTAATTGTAACACTATCATTGCGCTTTCATTTAACTACTCATAAGATAAATAAATAATATTGTTATCAAATTACTGGAACAGTACGTATTTCACTAAATATTGGTGTGGGGGGTTGGGGGGCGGACAGAGATTGCTCAACAAATCATAAATGTCCACTTGCAAACTATTTTGAAATCCGAAATTGTCCACATGCAAACTGTGAGGTTACCGCTCTCTAACCTATTTCAGGGTCATGGGGTTTTCCCATCTGTATACAAACTCAACATTGATTAAATTTAAATAATTGAACGAGTTTTTTGCATTTTGGTGAAGGGAGTTGCCATCCACGGAAGTATGCTGCAATGGCATCTATTCAAAAGAGACGAGTTGATTTGTATTGGATTCCTATACAAAAGTTGAAACGTTGGAGAACAAAAAATAAACACTACATAAAAAATTATTATGTTGTTTTATCATGAATCTCCTCGTTGAAGAGTAATAAAAGGGGATATTGAAGAATCATACACATGAATTATATTTAATTGTGTTAGCGGCAATGGTTGCAAAGGATGGGTTGGGTCATAGGTGGTCGAAATAATTTGCATTTGGTCCATTAGAAAATGAGATATGCACAGGGGAGGCTGGACCGGCCTACAGCCGTGCTAGCTCCAGCTTAAGATCCTCCAAAATTTGAAGTGTTCAAGATCCAAAAACATAGTAACAGTCCATGCTTAAGACATGAAACTGTGAATGATTTTGCAAATAATCAATACAGAGCAAAGGAGGGCCGTACCTTTAGGAAATGATTGCAAATCTAATCTGATAAAGCTAAAAAGAAGTCTAAACTAGATAAAGACACACAGTTTAACGGATTGAAGCATAACTAAATACAAACTAGTTTTACTATAGAGAGAGAGAGAGAGAGAGAGAGTGGAGAAAGAGTGAGAGGAAGAGGAATAACACGATTTTGGAGAAAGGGTGAAGAGGATTGTATTATTTATAGCGGGAAAGGTGGCTGGATCTTTCTGGGTAGACCTAAGGAAAGTGCAATTTCCTAGGTTTGCTTATAGCCACAGACAGCTCATTTTACTGGTTTTATGTGAAAATGGGACGGGGGATTCAGGAGTGGGGTTGTTTGTTATAAATCAGTGAAGGTTACTGAATTTTGAGCGGAACTTCATTTTAGCAAGTCAGCTTTTTTATGTTCCAAATTCATGATCGAAGGTTTAATTCATTATTATACATGAATTTATTATAGTACTTTCTTAAATTTCAAACCATACTCCCTAAATTCCTACATCCGTCCCTACAAATGTGTCAGTCTTGTTTGTATATTTCACTGTCAATTGGATAGTTTTTTTTAACTACAAACCATGGTGCTACGTAAATAACAAGCAGAGGACTAAAATTATTAGGAAAATAGAACTGGGACCTATTTGTTAATACATGACTAGGTTGAAAGCTGATACTGGAAATTTTCCTCGCCCTTCAGTCTTTGTTTGTGAAAAACGTGGATGTTTGATTATCATAATTGTAACACGAAGTTTATCATGTTACATTCTCATTAGAGAAATGTTACATATACAGAAATCTTTGATAATTTTTTTAACAATTGTCAATTGGCAAGTATTCATTGGATGTTAAACACAAAACACATTTAAACTAGTTAATGTAGTGTTGTCATCTCATCATCTGTAATGCTTTATGTAATTTTCATGTGTATACACATGTTTATTCTTCTTATTATCACTCTAAGCCAAGGAAGTCCGATGTGTGTGATTGCTAAAATCCATGAATGCTCAATAATTAGTTGTCGAAGTTCGTCATGTTATACTAAAAGTCAAAGTCATTGTCGTTCAACAGTTCTTTTTAAAGACAAAGTAAGTCAAGTTAGTTACTTAATTAGAAGCATTATGCTGGATCGCTTAGAAATATATATTAAAATTAGGAGCTCAATTTATAAAAATTAATGTTGTTAAAAATCGGTGCAAACCTTATTATGCTATTATATATCTTATATACAATCAATATTAAATATCCCTAAACAGTATAAACAAAGAGAGGACAACAAAAAGGATACCTCATCACACAAGCCTTGAGATAGTTTGAATTGAACTATTACTTTCGAAGTCAAATGTAACCATTGTCAAGTTAAAAGGCCGTTCCTTATTTCAAGGAAGATCGAACCGAAACTCATGCCAAGCTCCTGAGGTGAAAAACAAAAGAGCTTGGTCCGGCAATAGAAAAACTTGGACGACATCAAAGTGCTAAACTCAACAAAGACTAGAACCACCCATTATGTATGATTCACGCATTACTTGTTAGGACTCGGGATTGAGGAGTAGTCCAAACATATATAAATTGATTTACGTTTTCATCTTTATTTGACGTGAGATTCTATCCTTAACATGTTCCTGCAAGATGATGATTTATTTAAACAAATAAATCGTGAAATCAATTTGCTCATTTTTTAAGTCTTAATCGGATCGAATTATTCGTTAGAACTTAATGGGCTCTGATACCATATTAATACTTAATGTTCCATTTTAAAATGTCAACCTTATTCATTTTTCACTTTTTTAATTGCTTTTCTCATTGCTAATTATTTTTTCTTCTGCTTCTTAAAACCTTCTATCTTATTGAGTTTTGGGTAAAGATTGAAAAATAATTAAGGATTAATTTAGTAAATGATAATTACTACTAATATTTGTTATGGAATGTTTTTATGTTTTTGCAGTTGGAAAATAGTAAAATCTTATACATTTTGGCAAAGAGGGTTAGAAGTTGACGTCACAATAGTACAAAATTTACCTTGTGTATAATATAATTTAACAGGGACAAAACTTTTGAGGATAATTAGAAATCAAACTAACAATTCCGATATTAATTTGTTATGAAAAGATAAGAGATTAAAACAATTATATGAAGGAAAGATCACCAAAACAGAAAAAGAAAATAAATTCACCAGATGGAGATTTTATAATAATATGAAAAAAGAGAATAAAAGTTATGTGTTTACAATGTTTCTAACTTATTTTAAAATACAATGAAGAGCCAATTACATATAGGGAACAATCCAAGTCCTAGAAGTGAGTTGTAGATGAATCAGAATGTCTAAAAGTTTCCTTATCTTGATTTTTTTAAGTTCAACACAAATTCCAACTTCCAAATAGAATTTCAACTGGAATTTGTCCAATAGACTTTGAATACGATTCCAATTGCATTCTAAATAGAATCCCTTTTAATGTGCACTTTAATTAGAACTCCCAATTATCTTCAATAAAGGATTCGGGTCACATTTAAATTCTAACAATCTCCATCTTGACACGAATTTTACTACAATGAACAGAATTTAAAAAGAATCCACCTGGAGACAAATTCCACGGCAAAGAATAAACTCAAACTCTTTAACGAAATACACAAATGAATTTTTCCATCAACAATTCTAACCGGAATAATCTCCACCTCTGATATCCCAACTGGGGGCAAAAGTGATCACCAAACTGGGGTGACACAAGCCATGTAACAGAATTACAACTAAATGCATCAAAAGAAGGATCTTGGCTAGAATTAGCACCCTAAATCGCATTCAAAACATCAATAAAATCAGCAAAATTATACCTATGTGGAATCTTATAGGTCTATTTCTAGCAAGTGAATGCGATGATACCATCGATAGTGGTGGCAAGATGGATTTACCTATATTTTTAAAATTCAACTGAGATGTATTCTTAAACGAAAACTCCAAATTAGACTCCAACGGTATAAAAGCCAACTCTAAATCCACCCGAGTTCTTAAAACATGCTAATTACTCGAATATTCTGTATCACCTTTCAAGATATATAAATTAGATTTTCTATGTCCCATCAAAACAACACGGGCTCCTTTGATAACTTTTTGGACTCCACATTCAACAATGTACATGTTCCCTTTTGAATCAATGGTACTTAAGAAGATAAGATTTTTCTTCAGATTTGGAATATGCCTCACTACATCAAATATTTTAACAGCTCCATCAAAACATCTTTATTTTGACCCCAACAAACACTAGCTATCTGACAAGGTCTGTTATTATCGGTCATCACACCACATTTTGAAACTTCTTCATATGTTGAAAACAAACCCGATTAGGAGTCATATGGAAAGTGCAAGCTGTATCCAAAATCCAAGCTTTGTCCGGTTTGGAGTTATCATCAGATATAAGTATAAGCTCTACATCATAGCAAGGATTTTTCTGCAATACTTGTTTTTCCTGAAGTTTCTGATTGTTGATTTGGAGTTGACTTTGATTTACTCTGCAACTTATAACAATCATTTACCAAATGCCCATTTTTCTTGCAATAATTACAAAATTTGAAGTTAGATTATGACTTCTCCTCGAACGACCACCATGAACAATGAGACCATCTCCATGATCCCCATATGCTACATGATGCTTTATCTACTTCTTTGAATATAGAGCATGATAGACATTACAACAAAATCAATCCCAAGTCATCTTCATCTTATTTGACCTCCAAGGTCTTCAGATCAGCGACGATTTCTTTAAAAACATCTAGGTGGTCCTCTAGAGATGTACATTCTGTCATACGATGAGAATATAAACATTGGTTCAGATAAAATTTGCTACTAAGACTCTTCGTCATGCATAATTGTTCCAATTTTAGGCTGATTTCTCCTTCAAAACATCCTGAAGAATATTATTGGAAAGATGAAGATGTATTTGAGATAGGGCCTTAGGATCCATCCGTTGTTTCTCTTCCATAGTCCAAGTTGTGGGCATCTTGTCAAATCCCAATAATGCGTCATCCAAATCCATCTGAGGAAGTACTGCTCACATCTTTACCCGTCACAAAGAGAATCTTGTATTGTATCAAATCGCGGAATATTGTACTTCAAAGTTGTCATCATGAAAAAAAAATCTGAATTTTCCAAGAACTAAGCCTGAGCCCTCATACCTTGCAGAAGTTCAAAGTATATTCAAGAGAATTGATCAAATGCCATTAATTTTTTTGAACTGGTCACAAATTCAATTAATAATATTTCTGCAATGATAATTAAAGTTATTGGATCCGGTGAGTACTTTGTAAATTACATTAGGGGCTGTTTTTCAATTTTCAATTTTCAATTTTAGAAAATAGATTTAAATTACCCGAGCGTTGCTCAATCGCCACCGAGGTAAATGATTAGTTATCAACAATGTTCAATCGATGTTCTTCAAAAATCACTATATTTCTCCTTTTCTCTACTATCTGAGTCGACAATGCTAAGTCATCGATGAGTAAGGGTGGCAATGGGCCGAGCTCACACGAGCTCAGATCAGGCTAGTGGCAAGCTGAGCTCATAGTTCGTTGCTTGCGGGCGAGCTCAGCTCGGCCCATGAGCTAATGGGCCGAGCCGAGCTTTGGCTTGCGAGCTATCCCCTTTCTTTTTTTCTTTTTTTACAAAAAAAAAAAAACAAATGAACACAAATGCATTTTTAAAAAAATAATTTAATGATGCAATTTTATTTTTTTATTTCTATCATATAGTAATATTTTTTCTTATAAAATGTTAAATATTTATGTGATGAAGACGAATTTTTTTAAATACATTTGCAAAAAATACATATACTAAAAATACATTTTTTCATTTTATTTAATTCAAATATCACTTACTTGAGCATCCTGCCAATCCTTCATGTACATTAACGCTTCCAAAATATTTTCTTTCAGCTAGCTTCTGCTATCGGTCAAAACCCTTTTACCTGTACTAAAAACAGACTCCAAAGCAATAGTGCTAAGCAG